TTAAAGAACACACATGGGTGCAATAGGCTTTGCAAATACCGGCTATTCTTAGTGTTCTGTTCTAATACGGTTTAAATGCAGTATTGAAAGTACAGTTCGGTCACTGCAGTTGGAACTATACTCTAACTTGTGATCCTTCCACCCGGGCACCCTCTTTTGGGCTTTAGAGTCCGTAGATTATCTAGTATCACTAAAACGTTAATTTTTCCGCAACAGTCTGTCCAAATTCGAACTTTTAATGAAAACCTTCATCGAACAGCAGAAGTTTCATGTCCCCTGATTTTAGAGTAATATGTCCCCGACAAATGCTGTCGGTATGTCATATTTTGGAGCCGGAAGGCCTTGTTCCCGTATATCCTCCCATAAACTCGTTTAAGGTATCAGTGCTAGCTACATGTGCGCCAGGTGCGTCGCAGCGCAACAGTGTTTCTAGAAATGTCGCGAAGCCTGTTACGCGAGACGTGGTCTGGCGTACATATTGCTAGTTATAGCGAAAACATTGCTGACGGACACGCTCGGAGTTATTTCAGAGTATGCCTGGAAGTATATTTAACTTCTTCTGGGTCTAGTCTTTTATATCTTTTCATAGGTGTGTTATTGCTAGCATCAACAATTTAAAAGGGATTTGGCGTAACTTGCGTGTATGTATGTAGTGTATGAAAAGAATGCTTCGTTTGTTGAGTTTTGATTGCGAAGTAGACAGCAAAGGTATCTGTAAAAAGGTGGTTCAAAGCGAGCTAAGGCCCGTTTTCCAATAGAAGCTTCATTACACCATGAAAAATCAGAAGGGACAGGCCGAAGGACCGTCCAAAACGCCGCCGGCAGGCCAAGCTAGGCGCGCTCCCTGCCGAACCGAGTTGCCGGTGGAGCGAAGCGGACCTTGCAACCTGTGGTTTTTGATTTTTTTAAAGTCAATTTTTGAGCTGGAATGCTCATCTTCGAACACGATCTTTCTTTTTATGATTTAAGACCGACCCTGAAACTGCTATTTCTATTCCTTTTCGAGTTATCGTGCGGACAGACACACAGACAAACGGACGAAGAAACAGAATAAATATTTTTCGGTCAGTGGAGAAATGGGCTTCGATATCGCTCACAACACGTAGGCGAGCGTGTAACGTGTGGGCGGCTTAAGCTAGAAGCAATGACAAAAATAACAATATAAGATAGTGAGGTTAGAGCCGTCTATGCCGGCACCACAAAATAGCTGATTTCAAAATGATATTAGAAGGTGAAGATTTCCAGCAAAAAAAATACAAACTAATGCGTTTTGTAATCCTTCAGCATTGCGCTACAAAATGCACTAAAAGTTTTAGCCTAAATCGTAAAAAACATATCATACTTTTGTCCGCTTTATTTGGATTCTGCAGTCCCGGCCCACAGCCGAACGGAGGCAGCGAAGCGGAACTGGCAACTCCGTTTGGCGGAAGGGCAGGCCTGCTTGTCATTTCTATCCTGCCGTTCTGCTATAGAAAAAGATAACGAGCTTAAGCGACCAGTGTCCGCATGCAGGTATCAAAGTGATTCCTCGAAGGAGTGCAGATTTGGGCTTTCAAACTATTTGAAATTATGCCACGCACAATTTTAATTTTTCTGCCTGAAAATGTTGTGGGCACATATAGCAATCGATCGGCAAAGCCTCTGCGGAAACGACTCGGAGGTAGTATTGTACGGTGCACAGGCAATATTTTTGGCTGAGCGATTAGCTAAGCCTAATTCTCCGTCTGGTCGGAATTTTTTTTTTTTTTATGTCTGACGGTCTGTCGGTCTGTCTGCACGTCTGTCTGTCCGCACGATACTTCTAGAACGAATTGAGCGATCGACCTGGGATTTCCAGGGTTGTTGTGTACAATAAAAAGACAGGTAGAGTTCAAAGACGAGCATTCTAGCTTAAAAATTTGATTTTTGAAATATCAAAAACAACAGGTCCTGATATTGACGCTTTTTAAAAATATTTGTTTATGGTTTCCTAGGGGGTAACTCGTCAAAGTAAAGCCCTATGAGCGAAAATTGTGTACGGTTTGCTCTAGCTTAAACCATTGAGGCATTTTTGACGAAAATGAGCGAAAAAGTGTACAATCCTGCATGCTTAGTTGAAGTGATAGGCCGTAGGCCCGTATCTTTGTGTACATTTTTCCACTACCTGACTCGAGTGCCGCAGGCCAAGGTAGATATATGCCAGGCGCGTCGCAGCGTAACAGTGTTTCGTGAGATATTGCCGTTACGCGAGACGTGGTCTGGCGTACATCTACCTTGTAAAAGAAAAAGAGAGAGGATCCATGAAGGAGATGAAAAGGCAGCAATACTACTTCCTGTAATTTTGTGTACCGAAATAAGGTTCCAACGTGCAACTCTATAACACTTTGGACGACGCTTTGTGGAGTTGGCGTCAACTCCGTCACAGCATACAGATAAATCACTTTAATAACTAGCTATATGTACGCCAGACGACGTCTCACGTAACAGCGATATCTCACGAAACACTGTTACTTTGCGACGCGCCTGTCATACATTTGCCTAGGCCTGCGGCGCTGCCACCCGAGTTGGACAGAAGGCACAGTCGTTAATAAGCCTTCGGCCCCAAAGCTAAAAAAAAAAATTCCCTCTGGGTTTTATTTTAAAAAGCAGCCGCACCGGGGACAATCAATTATCTAAGAAACAAGCAGGCCCGACCTTCCGCCAAACGGAATTGCCAGCTCCGCTTCCCTCCGCCGGCAGCTCCGTTTGGCAGGGACCGGGCCTCGGGCCTGCTCGGCGTGCCGGCGACAATGGTCGGGCCTGCGGCCCGACCATTTCCGTCTCACATTAGGGCATTCCAGGCTATCCAAAACGGAAGTAGGAAAAGAACAAACTCACTGACTTTTCTGTTTCCGTGGTGGCTCTTATTGGTTGAGCTCATCACGTGTCACGACGGCGTTTCAGGTATATGGAAAACTGTCAGGTCAGTTTCGAGCTCGCCTCCATATTTGAGAGGTTAGAATCGGCCCAAACTACCATGGCAATTTCTCATACTGAGCAGACGGAAACAGATTAATCGGTGAATTTGTTCTTTTTCACTTCCGTTCTAGATAGCCTGGAACACCCTATTTGTTGAAGAACATAATCCAATGATGTAAAGGGCTCCCGGCCCGCAAAAACCCGTCGTCCTTTAAATTTGCCCCGTAGACATGATGTAACGGTAAAGCACTGCGACTACAACCCAACCTTCTGCTTAGAAAAGATTTTTTGGGGGGTGGGGTGCGCAAGTTTCCTTCCTCTTTTGCGGTTTTTATGCCTTCTTCTACAACTAATTGTTCACTTTAGCAATTTTTAGCTTCTTTTCGTGAAAGAAGACCCTCCAGTGCAAAACGGTTCGAGATAGAGCCAAACAGAGGAAAATAGGAGCCCCAGGGGGCTCTACTTTGACGAGTTACCCCTTAGGAGACAATAACAAAATATTTTTTTCTGACTTTTTTGACCTGCCTCATTTTCTCTGATATCCCCTCTCAGCCCCTTGAAAGTTGGTTGCCAGGATTTGCCGTAGGCGTTTCTTTTTCTAGAAGTGAACCTTACGAAAATTTGAAGTCTTTAACACATCTCCTTCTATTGGAACAGACAGACACACAGACAGACAAGAGGTCGTTTGCATAAGCCCGCTAGGTAGCTTTTTCAAAGCAGAAGGGCGGGCTAAAAACATAAAACATGTGGAAATCGCCCTCTGGCGCCTAAACGGCTAGAAATAAAGCAAAACGGACTAAATTTTGGTCCTAGGGACTCCACTCTGACGAGTTTCTTCAAAGATAACATTTAATTAAAGAAATTCTTCTGGCTTTTTGCTTATAATTTTTTTGGCATTTCAATTTTTTAGCTAGAGGGCTCAAAATCAATACAGTTCTTGTTTATTATGATACTAAATTACAATAAAAATTTTCGCGTCCTAGCTCATACCGTTGTCGAGTTATCGTGACGACAGACAGACACACTGACAGCCACGAAACTTCTTGATCATCACTAGAGTAACAGGCCTCGCTAATCACTCACCCACAGGTGTGACATTCACACACTTGCGTTTCCAATCACGGGTGGTCGATGTGATCAGTATGGCGTATACTTTTATTTGTTTGTTCGTGTACAGGTGAAAGTTGCTAAGACAAGCGATTCCGGTTCTGCTGTGAGGAACTGCAGCGGAGCTTTGCTTTCTGTGCATTACGTCATAACTGCGGGTGACTGTGTTGAGTAAGTGCTTTGCTTTCTTGTTGGCGATGTGTGCGTGTTTGCCTTGTATATTTCTTTTAAAAAGATAATCATCCTATTGCAGCTTAAAAAATGTCACAAATGTGAGAGTAATCGCTGGAAATGCTGCAATGTGGAAGGATCATAAGCAAGGGTCGACGTATACTGCTCAATCTGTACAGAGGCACCCTAAGTTTACTCTCGTGAACGGTCGAGTCACAACTCAGTTCAACTACGACGTTGCTTTGATTCGCCTTAATAAGCCTGTGCGGTTGGGAAAGCAGGCGAGCACTATCAGGCTGACAAGCGCCAAGGCCAGGCCAGCCATTGGTGACAAACTTAAGATCGCAGGCTTTGGCATTACGGACTGGGTAAGGGACGTAAGAGCTTTGCACTTACTTTTGCACGACGGAGGCTCAGGGCTCCGACCACGAAAGGGTTATGACGACACGGTTTTGAGATACGCGGTCAAATGAAGGTGTTCTCAGTATTTAATGAATGTTCTGCATGGCTGATGACCAAGGTGCGATGCAATCCGCTCAAAACTAGGCTACACTATAAACTGAAAAATTCGTTGATGGTCTTTCGTGTGTGGTAATCACCGAGTACCTTCTATGTCCACTGTACAGTCTTGTTTCCTAATTTCCTAATAGATACAACGCGTAAAAAGCCAGACCCGCCCTTCCGCTGAACGAAGTTGCCAGCTTCACTTCGCTCCGCAGGCAACTCCGTTCGGCAGGGGCCGGGCCTAGCTTGGCCTGCCAGCGGTGTTAGTTCGGGCCTGCGACCCGACCCATCAGTCGCTTTACTTATTTGAGTAAAACTAAGGCTTCCAGCCGGCGCTGCGGCCCAAAAGATTTGCTCCTTGGACATGAGAAATGACTGTCACGATGCGAGACCGTGACTACACCCCACCCTTCTGCTTAGGAAAGGAATAAAAAAATGAACAAGTGCAGTTTTTAGAACGTATTCTTTGACAAACAGTCTTAAAACTTGACTGTTTGCCATTCGCTTGTCCCTAATAATGCAAAGCACGCACGACGCTCAGCCGCCGGCGAAAGCACGCACGGCGGAGCGCCGCTGACGAAACCACGCACAGCGCAGAGCCACTGGCGAAACCACGCAAGTGCATTTTTCAAAAAAATTGAGATATCTATATATTCTGGAAGAGCACGATTTCCTCTTTCCAACGCTATATGTCTCCAAAAATCACCAAGAAGTGCACTTCCGTTGTTTCGCCAGTGGCTCTGCACTGTGCGTGGTTTCGCCAGCAGTGCTCCGCCGTGCGTGCTTTCGCCAGCGGCTGAGCGTCGTGCGTTCTTTGCATTAGGGACAAGCGCATTGTTCGAAATACATCTACCTCTAGCTCCGATACGGTTAAAAATACGGCAAATCCGAGGATAGATGTCGATCCAGGATGCGCTATTTTGGGGGGGTTCTTCCTTTGCTAGTTTTTACGATGTGACGCCTCCTTGTACGTCTTTATGTACAGCGAATTCATATTCACCGTACTTTCGTCGAAAAACAATTCTTGTTAACCATAAACGGACCCGTAGTTAAGAAAATTTCCTATTCTACAGTTTCGAGCAATATTCTATGATTAAAAGAAAAATGACTCCAAGGCTGTTTTTGTTTATATATTGTTGTTTTTGTAACGCATAATTTATGAACATAGGTTTGTGAAAAAATGCGCTGGTATTTGAGAGCTCTGCAGCGAGCGGGCATGCGAAAGCGGGCGTCCGAGAGCAATAGTACGAGTGAGAAACCCGCGCGGCTCCAGTTCCCTCCGTTTTCGGACGCCATGTAGGAACGGGATCGTACGCAAACCACGTGACGCATTTTGGGTGAGGGGGGGGG